AATAAATGTTTGTATGGCGATAAAAAATGATAGGTAAGAGCGCGTAATTCGGCGTCCCGGGGTCCAAGTCGTAAAGATAAAAATAATATTAATCGCGATTATCGTCGAGCATTGCAATAATAGCAATAACGATGGGCTCTTTATAGCCTTGCGAGTAATCTTAGGTACTCGTAGACAGGTAGCCAAGAGAAGAAAAGGGTAAGGTAAGAACCCTGCGGCGAATACTTCCTACAGTCTCAATATCGTAGCACCGAATTACTGCAAATACCTTCTTTTGCGAATCCTTTTCTCGTTCTACCGGTCCTCATCTACACGTAGGGTAAGCATCTTCTTTGGGAGTCGTCTCTTGTCTTGCGACGCATTGCCGATTCCAACCAAAGTATTTGATTACTATCGACGATAAACAAATTTTGTCCACGACCTCGACGTACCTACGCGTCCATACATGCGTAAATATACTACGTATGCATAATTAATGTTATTCAAGTAGTAGGATCGTTATAACGTTTGTCAGGAAAAAATTCTTTTCGAAAAGTTAACTCGCTGCTGGAACCGATCGGAATGCGACTTCTTCTAATGAACTGTTAAGGCCATAACAGGTACCAATTATTGCCTGATTTTGATGATCAAGAACTCATTCGAAAGATAAACGTTTATGTTTTTTTCAAGATTTATTTTAAAATTTTGTACCAACTTATATGTAGTTTTGAATTGGACTATTGTTCGTCCATCTTTCGAATCTCGGAATGAAATAAAAAAGAGAGAGAGAAAGAGGGAAAAAGAGAAAAGACGAGTCGGCCTTTGGAGGAGTCGTTACAAAGCGCTCCTCCGAGCGACGTATCGCATCGAATTTCACGTGGCGTTTGTGGTTCCTTGGGAATGGATACTCGGATTATGGGTTACGGTTACGGTCGTCTCGCGTATACGAAGAAACCATGCACGAGATGCGGCCACAACGACGTAAAACCATCGACGATGGAAATAACGATAAATATACTAACTGTTGTGGATTGAGAGAGCATTATTTATGTTAACAATTTTCAAGCAAGATTAAAGTTTGAATTTTGTCTATCGTATATATACGATATATATAGCCCAGATAACTGCTTTCCTTAAGAACGTTTAATAGAAGTCCATTTTTGTAAAATTTCTTTGACGAAACGAAGCTTGGGTGGGTATCCTTTTTAAACTACTACTCAACTACACGTATACACCTGAAACACAAGAAAAATATATTAGTATCTGTCCTCATTAATTCGAAATAATATTAAACAAGCTAGCTTACTTTATTAACATATTGAATCGTTTTTGTATTTAATTTGCAAATTGATTGATTAGATTTTAATAAGACGAATGTGCGATGATTCGGTCGGTAATATTATCTCTACGGTGTGGCTCGACGTATATTAACGTAAGTATACTCGGAGATAAATAATATACATGTTCTCGTGTGGAAAAGTAAACAATCAAGGGGATATAACACGATGACGGATCATTAAAATGAATCGCGCATTTGTAAAGTTGTTTTGATTCGAGGGAAAAGTATATGATCTTTGATGTCTTATTTGAAATTATCAATAATCATATAAAAACACTTCGAACGATAAATGCGAAAGCATATACTCTGACGGTGAATGAACGAACCTACCGTTAAAGTATACTTTACCTTTCGACACGTTCAACTGGAATTTACAAGGTGCGCCATCTTTACAGGTAGCACGTTGCTCTTCTAGCTTACCTTGGTAAGGTAACTTTTTTATTTTTGCTCGGAAGAATAAATGCGGACATTATAAATTATTTTTAAAACGTATATCATTGTGTTCGAGAACGACAACAATTCAATAAAATATACAAACAATGTGATTCGAGTCGAAGCGCCTTTAATGATAAAATTCTTGTGCCTTTACAATGTTTTATAAATAAATGCGTTGTTCGTTTTCACACTTTTTTTGTCATAGGTGGTGCATGCGCGACAGAGCTGCTGGATCTCAACTCTTTCCTGTTTTGCTGTGTGTACCGTAATTTTCGACACGGGGATTCCACAAAATCCCAATGTTTATACCAGGTACTAATGTAAAAATGCTACCCCCTTAATGGTGGCTTTATTATTTTACAATTAGCAGACAGCGTTCTCGCATCAAAAAGAACACAAAAATAGAAAGATAGAGAAAGAAGGGGGTTGAAAATCGAAGGTAAAACGTTGGAGACACTTTGTAAATAAATGAAAATAAAATCAACGAGAAATACTGAAAAACAACGTTCTCGAAGGAAGAACACGTTCGTCTGATGATTGTTTCATTTCACGATCAATCATAAACCCTTTCCTGTTCACCTTTTCATTTTATCCCCCTTTTCCTTCTCTTATGGAATATTCTCTCATCGTCAGTTTATATCTTTGAAAGAATCTACGTTCGTAACGATTACATAAATCCAACCCCCGACATTTGTTAGTCGACAAAACAATGTCAACTTTTTATTATTATATTATATTATATTATATATATATATATTTATATTATTCTATTTTCACTTTGAAAATAAAAAATAAAATTGAAGTTGTGCTGCCGCTTTTATTCATTGATAATTTTGGTTTTATTTCCCTCTCCTTCCTTTCTTTCTTTTTTTTATTTTGCTATTTATTTATTTGTTATTTTTCAAACGGTCCCACGCGTACCCGTATACCGTCAATAATCAACGACGCAGGGTTTACGTTAGTTGTACACTAAAGAGATATACCGAGTGTTCGATGTAATAGACGCGATCGAACGCTCTCTGTGTTAATGTATAATTCGTGTGTGTGTGTGTGTGTATGTGCGCGCGTGTGTGTATGTGCGTGTACGCGTATATACAATATCAAGGAATACTATATGGCACAAGTGCGGATGAGCGTTATGATAGGTGAATCTGTGAGGGCTGCGCTTATGTGTATGTATGTGTGGTCATGTGTATGCAATTGCATGTTTATCATCTTGTCGCGAGTTTCAAGGACCTTTTGCTTTAATGATTCAACGAATTCGTACGCATATAAACTTGTTAGATGCGTCCAATCTCGTATCCTAGGGGGATATTCCTATTATATACCTAAACGTTGTTCGCAATCGAACGATGAAACGATGATCGTGCGATATAAATTCTTAATTATACGGTAATCGTGAAAAAGGCGTAATCTCGAACGATTAACGGTCATAGTCCTTAAGACGATTCAATGAAATAACGAGACTTAAGGACGTTGTGACATGCGATCTCGGAACTATATATACTTTATCCTTTCTTTTCTTTTCCTTTTTTTTCTTTTTTTTTTCTTTTTACTTTTTCCTTTTTCATTTCGATTTACGTGTTTTAACGTACAGTGATAGTATGTACCTACATACATACAGACAATTATGACAGGTAGCTGCAAACTCGAGGAGCAAACCAACGGGAGACAGAAAAATAATAAAACCAAGAAAGAGAATAAAAAGAAAAAGAAAGAGAAAGAGAAAGAGAAAGAGAAAGAGAAAGAGAAAGAGAAAGAGAAAGAGAAAGAGAAAATGAGTTGGTAGGATCTGGCCACTTTAAAACACGATATTCGAAAAGTTTTATTTCAAACGTACATAATGTGACAATGTGACAAATAGCACGAAACGGAAGGAAGAAATGGGAAATTTGTGAAATATCCTTTTATCGCATTTGCTCAGCTCAGTTCTTAGTTGCTTCGCGGGAAACGTTTATTGCTGCTTAATTTAATATTTAACGAAGATCTTTTCATTTATTTATTATTTAGTTTTTCATTAATTCCCAATAGTAGTGTATCGCGCGTATTTCATCCACGTTGTATGTCTCTTTATGTAATAAAATGTGTAGAACAATGGTCCCAGAAGTGGTTCACGTTGGAACAGTTGGAATATACATAGAGGAAGATTCAAGTTAGGAATAGTTTATGTAAAAAGAAGAAGAAGTAGAAGAAGAAGAAGAAGAAGACGAACAAGAAGAAGATGATAAAGAAGAAGATAAAGAATAGGATTAAGGTATCGTCGTAAGATCTTTGCAGCTACCTCTCGTAGAAAAAGTCATTAATGATATTTTTTTATTAAATTACACCACGTGCATATTCTTAAGAATGAATGTATGGATCTGAGGTGTTCAGATTGGGAATAATCGTGAGTCGGTCGAGAGCAATTCGTAAACGCATCTACGCACACAAAAATAAAAGGAATCAAAACATCATGGAAAAATATTACGTGAAGTGAGTAAAAAAGAAACAAAGGAACGAGGGTTAAGAAAATTTGTGCGTTTATTAGCGAGAAGACTGATAGGTGGGATCAAAACGTTGAACTCTTTTCTTCTTTGAAACACTCGTTCATTCGTACGTTCGTTCGTTTGTTCGTTCGTTCGTTCGTTCGTTCGTTCGTTTGGTTGGTTGTTGGTTTTGTTTGTTCGTTAGTTCGTTTACCGTCATACGTTTGTTCGACCAACTACATGTATTTTAAGGGAAACTGATTCTGTAAAGGAAAAGATTTCTTACGATTAATTTTTGTATGAAAAATATATTTGGAAAATTGTATAATACTCAATGCACTCAATTAATGTTTAATATTTTATATTAGGAACAAAAACTAGGAACAAAAAATTATATACATTTGTTAAGAATAAAAAAATCAATATGCATCTTTTCCCTTTCAGAATCGATCAACCATAAATTAAGTCTATATATTTATGTATATATATATATCTATCTATCTATCTATCTATCTATCTATCTATCTATCTATCTATCTATCTATCTATCTATCTATTTCTTCTTCTTTTAATCGCATGATTGCGCGTATCTGAATTTCTTTCTCTTTGAAAGGAGCACCTTGAGAAGCACCTTGAGGTACACCTTGAGGAGCACATTCACATGCACCGAGGTAAGGAAGATGGGAATAAACGATGGAGATCTTAACGTCTTCTCACGATTCTTACTTTCCCTTTTGGCGAGATGGTCCGTACTACAACAAACTCGTCTTGGACTTATTCTTTTTTTCTCTCATCAAAAAGAAACGTAAGTAAGTATTTAAATAAGTACTTACTTAAGTAAATACATACCTATGGATGTATACGTTTTTTTTTTTTATATCGAGAATGAAAAAGATTGTTCTTATATGTCACCCGAATGATTTCATTATACGCTTTAGCGCAAGTATAATACGTTTAGAATCATTCTCATTTATATTTCATTAGCGATATTAATCATTGTACCTATCTACGATAATTATCTACAGATCACAATAGTCAAACACTGTGACTGACTGCGAGATTTGCCCGAGTCTGTGTGTGTGTATGTGTGTGTGTGTGTGTACACCTTACGCGCGTCCTTCATTTATAATAATTATATTTTCACATTTATCATCGATTTCACGTTAGATAACACACGACGTTTCTTTCCTTCGTTCCTTCCTATGTATTTACGATTTTGACGTAGGTAGGAGAGCTAAGTGGGTAAGGTATGAAGTGTAGTAAGTATATAGGTACGTATGTATGTATGTGAATAGTGTGTTATGATGTGTCTATATATCCTATACGCCCGTAAGCGTACTTTACGACTAGAGAGAGTGTCTGTCTTTTTTGTTTTACTTTTACTTTTTCTTCTTCTTCTTCTATTTCTTTTTCTTCTCTACTTTAGCCCTCTTTTCTTTTCATTAGAAACGATCTCATTTGAATCCAACCAGCTCGTGCGTTTGATTTTTATCACAGAACAAAATGATATGTAGCTTTTTTTTTTCTTCGGTAAAGCTTTGATAGAAAAATCATTGGTAGAAAAAGCTTAAGTAAAAGTTTAGAAAATGGACGTTTTCTTTTTTTTCTTTTTTTTGGCGAAAAAAAGTTTAATTCAAAAGTTACGGATCGCGTGAGGTTCGGTGAATAATCGGATTTCAAAGAAATCGTTTCTACGAAGAAATGAAACATGCTTGCACGCGTAATCGAGATATGTACATACATACATACATACATACATACATACATATACATATACATCATGCCATATTTTATCGTATTCATTCATATGAGACACCCTGTATAGATATATAAATATATGCATATATATATGTACATATACAATGTATGCACACACACGTACGCACACTTATATATTTATATAAAGTCGCATAAAATGTTGATTTGACCGTGCGTATTTTTGTATGCATTTAAAATCGGCCCTTAGCATTTTTTTTCTTCTTATTTTTGTCGAATCACGATCGGGTTTCAATGTTTCGATTCACGCACATCGAGAAAATTTTCTTGCGTTTTAGGCCTTTCTTCTTCTTCTTCTTCTTCTTCTTCTTCTTTTTCAATTTGTTCTAAGCCCTCAGAAGATCTCGAACGAGCTCTGTTACGATTTCATGTCTCTACGCGCATGACGATTCTTATAGACGAATATGACTAGAATTGATTTATTTGGTAATGGATGACAAGTATTTTCTTCGATCGGTATCTCGTCGGCAAGTAAATAGCCGAATATGACAATTCTTCTCGTGAACTGTTGACTAGAATAAAAGTTGGTTGCACCGATATCTTGCGATAAGAATTTTCTATTATCTTATTATTTTCTTCTTCTCTTTTTGTTTTTTTTTTTCTTAATCCTCATCTCGCGTACAACACTTTTTCCAAAATTTGTCTCTCTCTTCTCTCAATCCCCATTCCGTTGATTTTCCTATCATCGATTACGTCTATTTCGTCCACCCTTATTTCTCTTTAGTTGGTACTTGAATCGTAAAACGCTTATGAACGAAATTAACGTTACTACTCGATGGTACTCCAATTTTTCGAAGAAAAATCACGAATTCGTAGCGTTTCCATCATGGTAAATACCAAACTCATTTAACTCTTGGACTCCTTAATCAAAATACTTTTTAGTTACCTTCGAGTTGTATTTAAGATTCGACGTGCAATCGTGAGCTCCGTCGCATCTAGCATCAAACGATATATGCATTTATATATACACATACATAAAAATTTATACACACATATATATATACATACACATATCGCAATTGTTTCCAAGGCAGTGACAACTGTGCGCGCATCGTCCGCGAAAGATTTTTAAAGAGACAGACACAAGGAGAGAGAGAGAGAGAAAGAAAAAGAGAGAATGAGAGAGAGAGAGAGAGAGAGACATCCCGGAGAAGATGGGCCCCATTTTTTTCCTTCGTTTCATTTTTTATTCATTTTCGATAGTATCTTTCCGAGTTTCGAGCCGATTAGCTACGAGATTAAAAGATACTTTGAGAAACGTATCGGTGTTAATTCGACGTATCTTTTTTTTCTCTCTCTCTTTCTCTCTCTCTCTCTCTTGATTTCTTTCTTTCTTTCCATATCTTTTTTCTTTCTCTATTTGTGATGTCATTGTCAGACTTCTTCCATCTGTTTACAGCTCATTGGAAGAAGCCGAAATAAGAGGAGACCACACGATCTCGTTGATATCTCCACTTTTGGCTGAGGGTACGACGTCCAAAATCGGCTGATCGGCCGTGATCGCGATTACGTCGTCCCTTTTTTGCCTTTCGACTTTCCACCTGTGTGCTCTTGTTCGGAACCACTCGTTGGACTCGGTGGACCGCTACTAAGCCTCGCTACTCGTCGATAAATCGCACTGTTGACGAATCGCGGATAAGAGTCCCGATGCATCAGCGTGTAGATTTGTAACTGTGCCTCGTCGAAGGTATGCGGGGTTGGTTCCACCATGTTGCGATTAACGATCTCGCGTACTCGCGAATCTAGACTCACCTGGAAATTGTTAACAAACAATTAAAAGTAACTAAGATAATATCACAAATTATTATACAATTGTTAATTGATTACTAGGAAAAATGTTAGCGTTGTCCGGCGTTTAATAAAAATTTAATAAGTTAAGTATCGATAAAGAAGAAAAAAACCATTCTATAAGTAGAGTTAATCGCTTTGACCTGTGAACGGTTGACGATAATAAAAAAGAAAATAAAAAGGAAAAAGGGATAACGTAACAAAGAGAACAACTCACTTCTTTCGGTGAAAGTATGGATATGTAATCCTCGTAGATGAATCTTGCCTTTTCCTCGATTTTCTCTGGATTACTTTCACGTTTGAGTTCCTCGCATGCGAGCCAAAATGCAATATTTTCCTCGCTGTACTCGCTGCGAAGGAACTCACGGAAAAGTTTCCTACCGGCCGCGCTTTTCATCAGCTTGTCGAATGAAGAACCCCAAGATTTAATTTCTTCGAAATTACAGCATTCCATGGAAGCGTCGGGACCATCGAGACCGTCGAAGTTGTCCAACCCGTTGCCAGCAGTAACGCCACCGTGATCACCACCGAGGCCACCCACGTGTTCACCGTCAATACCAACGTTGCCCTTCTTCTTACCGTGTTCGCCAGTTCCGTCAGCACCAACCGTATTTCCGCCGACCGACGCCAAACTGTTGTCATCGGGTACGTTGTTAGTCGTTATCAACGATCGAATCGTTAACAATAATTGTCTCAACATTATTTCATCCAGTTAAATGGGGAAGTAAGGAAAGATATTTTGATCGTAATAGATGAATATTTTTCGCGCGATTATACGTTTTAAAAAGGAGAATATGATTATTATGAAACGATAATAAAAGAAGCTTAAAAGAAACGCGTTGGCTTTGTCGACGGATGAGGAGAGACTCGCGTAAACGGTAAACATTCTTTAGCGTACCCCAGATGACTAGCCTGACGTCATATCCGTTTAATGTCGCATCATTGATTTTCATCGATACCGCGACCCTTCTCGCTCACTCACTCTCTCTCTCTCTCTCTCTCTCTCTCTCTCTCTCTCCCTCTTACTATTTTCTGTATCTTTCTAAACCTACGGATTCATCGCGTTATAACAGACCGCTCTATTGTCGAGTCAGTGTACACCGTTATATATAAATACGTTGCATGCGAACGAGGAAAAACCGATCGACTTTTGCTTACCATTTGTTCCTACATGCGGCATGAAACAGAGAAATAGAAATATGGATAAAGCTTCGTACTTTCCTATATAGGTCATGGCTACTCTCTTTTCGAGATACAATGAACAAACGATACGGGAATGTGACAAAGCAAAGATACGATGAGAAAAATCCTAAACCTACATATATAACTATATAACAATATACATGTCTCTATGTACAATGTCAATAAGCAAAATCAATAGGATCTTTGAATTAAAACAAAATTACTTTAGGTACGGATCATGGGGATATTATAACTTCATTCCATTTAATTATTACATCGAAAGGGTCGTAGAAGGAAGTTGATAGAATCGATGGGCCAAGAGAAGACACGCGCGCACACCTGTCGTATCGATTGAGCTTAAAGTAATTGAGGAAATAGAGAGAAACGATAATACCACGAGCAACTACAGCAACAGCACCAGCATAGGCAACAGTTGTCCTTTTTCGAGCGGCCTATGAACCTAGTTCCTTGACGTTGCTGTGCCTGCTGCTGCGACGTAGGCGTTTGTTGTTGTTGAGATTGTTGCAGTTGATGTTGCTGTTGTTGTTGTTGTTGTTGTTGTTGTTGTTGTTGAGATTGTTGCTGTTGTTGTTGGGATTGTTGCGACGATTGTTGTTGCGATTGATGCTGAGACGATTGTTGAGACGTCGTCTGAGACGATTGTTGCGGATTGGCGTGCTGAGAGGAAGATGCTTGACTTTGACTTTGGGCACGAAGACGACAACCACTCGTTACACCGTCGTTTCCACCCGTTCCGTGGCTAACGCCAATCCCCATTGTTGCACTGATTCCACTCGACATCTGATGACACACATAAGTTATCGGTTTACGTTAGGCAAACTATCATCTTTTTATTTATTAAGTCGTCTCATAACTTTCTTGCCTTTATTTTGTAAATATATTTGACATGCACGATTCGTGTAAAACGTTTGTAATGACCTAAATGGTTTAAGTAATTAAGAAACTTTGAGTAAATTGTAAGCTACAGGAAAAGGGTAACGTCAAAATCAAGTGGCAAATATCTCGAATAAATAAAGCCTCGAATGCATTGTTTCATTAATTTATAGATTATTCTATTTTCGGAAAGTGCTTCGATTTTCGATAGGACCGAATCTTTAGCGAAGCGTTTACGGGTTCCAGGATTTCGTTGTTCTTCGTTGAATCTAGGCTTTAGAAAAATGATTCTCGACTCCGGTCAACTGTGCACTATCGCGCACACGCTTGGATCGTTTAATCGATGAAAAAATCGGAATGAGTGTTAGTCCCGTTCTCCTAGTCCTTCTTTTTTTTTATTTTTATTATTTTCTCTACGGGTCACGTGGTCACGAAAAAGAGAAAAAAAGGTAAATAAATGAATAAATAAAAAAGAAAAAAGAAATAAAAAAGGGTAAAAAGAATTTGAAAGCAGTCGGAAACTCTAATTGAAAGCAGCTGACCATAATTGACGCCTAAGTCCTCAAAGGATTGGCAATTAGTTTGGATGGGATTTTCGTAGCGATAGTAGTACACTCAGCCGCGCCTATCGATTTATCTCGTATTTTCCAAGCTTTCGCGCGTGAATCCAGTCGAGGATTAATCGTATCGTCTCCATTATTGCCATTTGAATTTAATTCTAACTGATATCAAGAGATATAGATCGCAATCTCGCCAAAGTATCGCGCGTACGGCGCGAGTCAATGAAAACGAATATTATATCCTAACGATGCTAGATACAACAACAACAACAACAACAACAAATAAAAAGAAAAGAACAAAAATAAAGGATTTTCTATTCGGTTCATTGGGAAAGTTCGTGGAACGTTGAAGGAAAAACTCGTTTGTATAATGCGCGCGTGCGTGCTCGAACGGCGTAAAAACAAAAGAGCTTTTAAAGGAAAAACGATCGGAAAGGTGGCCCCCTTACCAGGTTACGTATGCAGTTTACATACACATACACGTATCAATATAAAACGCTTGTAAGTAAGTAAATAAGTGATATACGTGTGTTTTATTTTTAAGCTAAATCGTCGTCTAATCCTGGATGAGATACAATTAAAACAATTCTCACGGGTTTTAACAACGTTAAATACTACTTTACGAGAAGATTCGACGACGACAGAAGCCGCCCTTACGTTTACTTTATATCCACGCAAAAAAAGAAAAAAAATACTCTTTTTTTATTACTTTTGTGTTCGATCGAATAGATAAGCAGGAGGGAGTTTGAAAAAGAAAAAGTAAAAAAAAAGAATATGGAAGTAAGATAATGAAAAGGTCGACGCACGTCGACCCCCAGAGTCTCTCACCTCTATCATGTTCCATGCGAGCGAGAGCGAGACGAGCTCGCTTCCCGCGTCCTTAAGATCCTAAAGGATGTGTAATGCGGCGCTTGCGCAGGTGTTTTTTAAGGACCGGGAGAGAGAGAAAGAGACAGGATTGGAATTACAGAGAGAAAGAAAAATAAGTGAATGAGTGCGACAGATAGAATATGTAGGCGAACAACTAGGGGTTAGCGAGATGCTTTTTTAAAGGATTTTTTTTGAGGTATTCCTTCTTTTTATCCTGGTCCACCGGCGAGGCCGGCCTTCGTTCGTCTAGGGGCCTCGCCCGAAGTCCGCATGTTCCTAAACGATGACGTTGACGATGCTTTTCGTTTGTTTGTTTTTTTATTGTTGCTAGTAAAACAGGTACCAACAAACTTGGGTTTCCTTATTAATTTGCTGTTTTTCTAGAGCACATGTATGAACAAAATTGCAGCTATATTTAACGATGAGATCTCTTCTCACGCGTACACCATTTAAAGAAACACGCGTCCGTCGTACGGGTCTTGTTCAGGCTCGACACTGGCCCACCACCACCACCACCACCATTGCTGCTACCATTGAAAACAACAACAACAACAAATGCCAATGATGGACACATACACCGATCATTATTCTTCCTTATATATTTTCTCTTTTATTTGTATTCCAATCTCTTTAGAAAGAGAGAGAGAGAGAGAGAGAGAGAGAGAGAGAGACAGACAGAGAGAGAAAGGGAGAGGGATAGAAAGAGAGGGGGAAAAAAGAGAGATGAATTTCCTTATACCTCGCGAACCAATTCGTCGCGAGTTTGATTATTTGTATTATCTTCCATCCTGGACCTGGAATCTCCCCTTCTTCGGAGATAGATAATTAAGAGAGAAACAGAGAGAGAGAGAGAAAGAAAGAGAGAGAGAGTGAGAGAGTGAGAGAGAGAGAGAGAGTGAGAGAGTGAGAATGTGTGTTCTATCACCTTGGAGTTGGAAAGAAAATATATATATATATATTGTGTGTGTGCGTGCGAGTGTGCGTGTGTGATATCACGAAGACACTAGGATGGAACACGAAGTAAAATAAAAGGGTGAGTTTGGCGATTAAAATGATATCGCAGCAGTCGAAGTAGAGATTTCGCGCTACACGTTTACGTGTCCGATAGGCGCGGCCAGGCGTTCAGGGAGTCGCCGATGGCGGTGCTTTCGACGGTGCCGTCGGCCTCTGTCAGACCGACGGATCGTGCCGCCTAGTGGTCTCTTCTTTTCGTGGTAGATGAAAGCGTGGGTGGCGAAGCACACCGTGTGCTTCCTTCTCTCTCTCTCTCTCTCTCTCTCTTTCTCTTTCTCTTTCTCTTTCTTTCTTTCTTTCTTTCTCTCTTTCTTCTCTCTCTCTCTTCTTTGAGAGTTCTCCGTTCCGTTAACAGAGTAAAAATAGGTTTTCCGTGGTCGTAGGAAGTGCCGCCGCTCAGGGCGCTGGCGCGAACGAATAAACGCTAGGCCTATCGCGACACCACTACTTTTCTCTTTCTATCTTTTTTCCCTCGTGTTCCTTTTTCCCTTCTCTCTCTCTCTCTCTCTCTCTCTCTCAATTTTTCTCTCAATTTCTTTAGCCCTTTTGGTCACTCTCTCTCTCTCTCTCTCTCTCTCTCGCTCGCTCGCTCGCTCGCTCGCTTTTTCTTTCGCTTTCGCTTTCGTTCTTTCCTCCTTCTTTTTCTTCTTTTTGTTGTTGTTCTTGTTCTTCTTCTTCGTCGTAGCTACTTCCTTCCGTTATTTCCCGTTTTATTCTTCTATATAAACTGTAGGTTAATTCTAATGCTTCCCAGATACTCGTATTCTTTATTAATTTCTGGCTTAACGTTCGCCTAGGGGAACGAAGAAAAACACATGCGTGTGGTTTGTGGATAAAAAGAGAGAGAGAGAGAGAGAGAGAGAGAGAGAGAGAGAGAGAGAGTGTGTGTGTATGGTATTTTGTAAAAGATAGGAAAGTAGAGGGAGCGAGAGAGAGAGAGAGAGAGAGAAGAGAAAAGAGAGAATAGTAGAACGACGTCGAGCAAGTCGGCCTGTCTGTCGGTTATTGATTGGCAGAGGTCGAGACCAGAGGGAGAGAGGTGCTCGCGGCGCTGTCACGCTGTACGACACACGGAAGAGGATACCAGGAGTTTATCTTTCCTGGATAACGACAATTCTTCATATATGAAAGATATTTCACAACACACTTATATATCTTTCTTCACGTATAATTCAAGGAAAAATTTTCTTGTTACTTTCTTGTTACGTTCTTAACATCTTCGAATTTTGATGAAGTCAACATCTTCAGGGTTGGTCCTGCGATTTCTCGGTGTCCTCTTTGATTTATATTTTATCTTTCGTCAACCGTGATCGGTGGATATCTGTGTGTCCCTTTGTGTGTGCGTAAGATCTAAAGAAGATTCGAAACTTTTATCGCAGGAGAAAAATTGAACAAATTATTAGTCTTATATATTTGAAAAGTTTCAATTTTTGTTAAACATCTTATTCTTGATATATTTTCTATCCTTCTGTTATGTTTCTCTTCATCCTCTTATTTTCTTCTTTCTTCCAGCACGTTTCACTCTCTTCACATTGGTAAACTTGTCAAGAGGGCGTCCAGATAGACTGGATGATAATACGTCGACTCGAGGAATACGTTCTTGTCTTTGTTTTTGTCTTTGGCTTTGTCGTTGTCGTTGTTTTCGTCCACGTCTTTGTCGTCTTTGTCGTCGTCGTCGCTGTCGTTGTCGTCCACGTCCACGTCGTCGTCCACGTCGTCGTCCACGTCGTCGTCGTCGTCGCCGTCGTTGTCGTCGTCGTCGTCTACGTCCTCCTCCTCCTCTTCCTCCTCGACGTCGAGCTCTTCTCGAATCTAAAAGAGAGAGAAAGAGAGAGTTCCGGCAATATGGCGGTCACGCGCTTACGCGACGCCACGACCACCACTGCGATTCGTTTCTCACTCCCACCGGAGGAAAACCAACGACGCCGACGCTGAAAACCGACGCCGAAAAGCAACGCTGACGCCGACGTCGACTCCGACGCCGACGCCGACGCCGACGCCGAAGCAAAGCCCGATCACAACGCAGCCTCCCTTCACCCTCCACCCACCACCCTCGCTATTCGTTTACTTCGACGAGCGGTCATGAATGCGAATGACCTCGGATCTCCTATCTTCGAGCTTTTCCAAATACTTCAAAATGGAAAACATCGGGGGAGGGTTCTATCTCCCTTTCCATTCGATCCTCCACCAATTCATATATACATTTCCAATTGGTTCTGTTAAAACGATCAAAGTCTATTATCGATAACGAAGATTTACGGATTTTTTTTTTTTATAGTTTTTAATCTCATTTTATGGAACTACTTCATAACAATCGGTTCTCCTATATCCAAAAATACTTCACCTTTGTCAACAGTTCCCTATCTAATTGCAATTGGTTTTTATTAAAAATATGACAAAATACTATATTGGACGAATTAATGATTTTTCTAGTTTTTAATGTTTGAATTGACTAGGAGCACGAGGAGCAGACGACGTCAAGGAATCTGCAAAGTAAGAAGAATATGATCGTATTCGGCCGATGACGTCTGACCACGCGGTACACGCGTATCTCTTATGATGTGACGTACAAACTGACATCCATGTGTCCCGTGTGCCGGCTCGTGTTTATCACCATAAACCGTTCCTCTGTGGCAACGTAACATTAACCGAGCATGATGTTCTGTCGCAGCACATCCGTTTATATTCGACAAGAGAGAAGATGTTAATCGATCTTTCCCTTTTACACGTACTTACACAAAAGCCAGGGAACCCTTCGTCTCTGATCGAGAGTCATCTTCTTTTTATTTTATTTTTTTTATTTACTTTTTTACTTACTTACGCTTCGAAAGATTATAAACGTTCCTTGCCCTTTTAGTTGCAAATATATTTTATATCTTTTTGCAATCATCGTGTATATAATTTATGTCAATTCTTTGGCATTCGATAAGAAGAATACTTGTCGAAACTTTTTAAAAAATACGCAAGCTCATAAAAGGACTCTACTTTTACCGATAGGAAAAATCGAATCGAGATTACCGACGCGTGTCGATTTACCGACAAAGCAAACTTCAAAGAAAGATACCGACGTGTAAATGTTTGATGAGAGCTCTACAGTAGCGTCGATAAAACAGTTTCACTTCCGGTTGAAATTCATCCTCGTACAGTATTACAAATACCATACAAATCATTGTGATGTTTTATCTAATTATTTTAATTGTCATTTGAAAATAGTGCATTAAAATCCCTATGGAAAGATGTTTTTTATTACGAGAGAATGTTTAGGTATTTTACTATGAAAGATCCTTACGAAACGATTACAGATAGGCAAATCTGAAAGAAGCAAAAACAAGGACAGATATCAAATTTATTTTTCCCTCTTTCACAAAATTATTCATCGATAGGATCTAAAAAAAGATATTTCGAGAGTTTCTAGACTCGATCTTTGAATTTGTACAGAGTTGCCAATAAAGACTTAGTTCTATAGAAAGCGGAAAACCGTATAGGGGTCTCTTTGTGCGTGCTCCTGAAAACAGCCCTCTCTATCCTTATGAAATGCGCCCCTTCGTTTCGAAGCTGCCTTTAGGGTCGACGTTGTTGTTGCTGCTGGTGCTGCTGCTGCTGCTGCTGCTGCTGCTGCTGCTGCTGTTACAACGAACACGTGCGAACGGATGGACGGATGAGCGAGCGTATGCTGGAAGCAGTGGGAGTGGGAGGGTTAAGAGTAAGAGAGAGAAAGAGAGAGTGTGAGAAAGAGGGTAGTGGTGAAGGGGAAGGTGAAGGGGGAGGTGTTGGGTGGAAGAGAGAGTGTGCGCGAGTATACACACCTACGCGCTCGCACTCACGCACAAAGAACCTTCTTCGTCGTCCATCCGTCGTCATCGTCTTCGTCGTCGTTGGACGTAGCCTGGTTGGGTGGAGATGGGGCGGTGGGTTGGGGAGTGCCGGAGGATGAAGAGGGGTTGGGGGAATGGGAGGGAGAGTAGGATGAGGAGGAGGAGGAGGTGGGAGTCGAGAAGGAGGGGACGGGAATGGGTAGGGAACGGAACGGAACGAACGAAAGGGAAGGGTAGCGGGGTGCGGAGAGGGCGGGCGCTAGGCCTGAGGGGAGGAAAGGGGAGGTAGAAGAGGAGGAGGATGGGGGGAGGAACAGGCTCGGCTGCTCCCCCTAATACTGCAGGATTGAATGGGCGAGAAGGGTAGTATTGGGTTCCCTCACCCCACTCCCACCACCCACACAGCGCTCGAGCTCCCAAGCCACCCGGAGCCACCCACTTCTGTCCGCCTGCCACCCCGCCTGCCCACCCACTCGCCACCCGACTGCCGTCGAGGAAACAACCTGCAACCGAACTCAGCATAACGTTTTCTCCAACAAGCATTTCCATCCCAGGTATGTATGTTCTTTTCAAATTTCTTCGACGTTAATGTTAAATACGCGATCGAGTATGACAAACATCTTTCTTGCCCCTTTTTTTTTACTTTCCTTCCTCGTTACTCGCACTCATTTTCGGTATTGCGCGCACTGTGTGTTATTTTCTTTCTTGAAACAAGAGAGATGAAGAAGGAAGAATAAACGAGAAGGAAAAATAAAGAAGAAGAAGAAGAAGAAGAAGAAACGGAAACAGAAAAATAAACAAGAAAAAAATTTGAATAACAAGAAGAAGACGAAAAGAGGAAGATGAAGAAGATGAAGATGAAGAAGAAGAGGAGAACAAACAAGGAAGAATAATAAGCAATAGAAAAAAAAGATTTGAATATACGGGTCTCTTGGAAGTTCCGCGTGGTCACGCCGAGATAGATGGGATAAAGTGAGCAAGAAAGAAAGGAAGAAACGGAAAAAGATGGTCGCGTCATACTTGTTCGTCGTGTGTCGTGTTGTCAGAAAACGTTGTCTTTTCGTGTCGCGATCGTCGTCACATCGTCAATGTCGTCGTCGTCGTCATCGTCATAATAATAATCATCATCATCATCGTTATCATCATCATCATCATCATCATCATCATCATCATCGTCGTCGTCGTTGCGTCGTCGCGAGGAATAGAGTGTCTCTCGTGTTGTTGTAGTAGTACTGACTTTCGCTGCTCGTTATTTTTTGTTTGTTCACATAATTGTGTTACTCGGTACGCGGCATGTTTTTGGCGCTTGAGAAGTAGGTAGACGAAGTAGTAGTAGGTAGTAGTGTGGTAATAGAAGAAGAAGAAGAAGAAGAAGAAGAAATCTCGATAATCGCGATATGTCGCGTTGGTAAACGTAAAAGAGAGAGAGTAGGACTCGCGTCGATGACGCGCGTTCCGTTCTTGGCGACGGCGCGTCGCGGAGTACGCGCGCGCGCCTCTGGGCCCGTCCATATATCGCGAGTTCTTCTCTATATATCTCGGTTAACAAGAGAGTGATAGAGGGAGAGAGAGAGACGCGATCTTCGTCGTCGTTGTCGTCGTCGTCCTCCTCCTCCTCCTCCTCCTCCTAACCAAGTTTTCTTCTTCTTCTTATCGCAGTATACTACGATGCATTGCCATAACAAAGTTTCAACACAAGAAAAAATCAAACTAAACCGTATGACAAAATAATAGAAGCTAAAGAACTTGAGGAAAGAACTTTTTTCTTGTCGCCGTTAGCATTCGAATTCGCGATTCAGGGCAGCAAGTAGTTAACGGGCGCCGAGAGCGCCACTCTTATTCTAACGTGCGTGAGTTGCGTATGCTTTTGTGGTCGACGCCAGCGCGACCGACGCCAGCACAACCGATCGAGGAATCCTCCCACACTACAAGAAGAACCTCTCTCTCTCTCCTCTCTTTCTCTCTTTTTCTCTTTCTTTCTTTATCGCATATGCGTCGTCGTCTACTACCTGAGTATACGTGTATGCATATGTTGCGCGCGCGTACTATGTGCTGAGTGTGCGTTTTTCTCTCTCTTTCTCTCTCTCTCTCTCTCTCTCTCTCATACAAACACACACACACACTCATTCGCAACGATGGCAGAGGAGATCGAGACGAAAGGGAGACCTGCTCTCTACCGTCCTTGGCCTAGCCGGCAATAATTTCCGGATGAATTTGAATGGCGTACTGCGCGCGCGTCTCTCTCTCTCACTCTTTCTCTTTCTCTCTCTCTCTCTCACTCTTTCTCTTTCTCTCTCTCTCTCTCTCTCTCTCTTTACGTCTGTCTGTCTCAGTTTCTCTCCCCCACTTTACCTTTCTCTTCTACTCTCCCCTCCCCCACACACAATTCCCTCGGCCAGAGTTCCTCTTTCATCGTCAACCGTTTTCCTTCCAGCAGTGGTTCTCATGTGACTAACGGGACAAAACTAACCATCATTCTCCTTTCCCCTTTCTCTTCTTGGACAATTCACTGAAACATCTGTCGTTTCTATGAGCCCAACGTCGTAGGGGAATATTGATTTATCTTTCTCTCTCTCTCTCATTCTCTAAAGTAGGGGAAGGGACTCAGCCCTTGTCCTTTCTTGGTTCTCTCTCTCTAACTACCTACCTACCTATCTACCTACCTACCTACTACCTACCTACCTATCTACCTAGCTTCTACCTACCGTTTTGCGTATCCCCTGCCACCCTTTACCCTCCTATTTCTCTCCCCTAACCCTCGCTCTCCTTGGAGCTCCTCCTCCTACTCCTTCTCCTTCTCCCCTATCCTACCCTTCCCTTCTCTTCTTCTTTTCCCCTGTTCCCGCGCAAGCGCGATCACAAGTTGCTCGTAGTAACTCTACCATCCGAGAGAAAGTGGAACTTACGCCAGGGAGAGCTTCTCTTTCTCTCACTTCCCCTTCTTTTTCCTCTAACACGATCAATACCAACGAGGTCCCTACTTCGAGCAAGCTCCTCGACGCGTTAACGGCGCACGCGTCGTTGCATCTAACCACCCTCTTTTTCTTACAAACACCCAACTTCGTTCGAAGCCACCCTCTCATCTTCGATCCGTACGATCGATCGTAAGAGAGACTCCTTTTTCGATAGTTTTTCTTTCCTTTAATGCGACTAACGTTAATATATATGTATAGTAATTGCCCTACTCGAGTTACGAGATAGGGTAATCAATGTCCTACGTACAACGATAGAATGAGACATTTTTTTTTAATCTTTTTTCTTAAATTAGAATAGCTCGTTTATTTTTATTCTGGTTAAGCTAATAAATTTCTGAACAAATTTTAGACGCGTTGAGCGCCACGTTACAACCCCCGATTTAATCCAGCAACATTTCATTTGTAATTTTTTACCTTTTATGATTGCAACGTATAAACCTTTAGTTGTAATAATATCTATGCTAATAATTATATGATTTAACTTGATTTAATATTCGATTGACGATTGACATACATTGCAAGGGCTCAGATAGATTTGTTCTCGAAGGATGCAATTTATTTTTTAATCTCATTTTATATGCATTCTTATTCAAACGTATTTTATTCAAATGGAAGAATTTCGATGAAATTATTCCACCCTCTTGATTGACCTACTGATAATTAGAAGATAATATCTTAAAAAGCATGGAAGAATTTGGATTCACAGTAAATGAACGAACCAGGTCAACGTTTTAACAAAAGGTACGATTCATTGATTTCAAGTTAGACCAAAACAATTTTCTTTTCGTTTTGCATATTTGACTTCCAACGAAAACATCACGAATAGATAGACATTTCGTAAGTAGTGGTAGGTATAGGACGGTGTGCGGTTACGATGGTGGTTGCGATCTCGTATATAGTATACTAGTCTAACTACTTCGACTGTAATCCTAAACTATAGTTCGGATAGTCGTTAGAAGAGAAGTCGTTAGCGCCTTTCTTCTCTATCAAGATGAGAGAGCGAGAGAAAGAGAGAGAGAGAGAGAGAGAGAGAGAGAGAATTCGCGGTTCCAAGCCCAACATGTTCAACCGTGTGGTCGAAAACACATGCGCGCGCATCTGCACGTCGACCTTCCGAGCCGTTCCGAAACACGCCCCCGACAGACAGAGGGAAAGAAAAAGATAGATACACCGAGATAGAGGGAAACAAAAAAAAAGGGAAAAGGTATTGAAGAGAGAACCCTGCGAGAATTAGAGAATAGGAGAGAAGACGATTTCTCTTTTCCTAAATGCTAGCTTGAAAAATTCCAACCCTTCTTTTCTTTCATTTTAGAAACCTTACACGTTGAAATCATTTGGATACTTTTCCTTTTTTCTTTAATAGGGTAAAAATCCCCAAGGACATCACCCCCCCCCCCATGGCTTTTTCTTGCCAAGAATTTCAAGAATTTATACTATTATTTTCATGAATAAATAGTAAAAGAATAAAATTGGGAGAGGAAGGACGGAGGAGAAGAGGGTTTCGAACTATCGTCAAAATGATTTACAATCGGTTTTTCTTTTCTAACGTTGAGAATTTATTTTACTACCTAAATTCAAGGTAATAAAACGAACAATTTTTTCAAGGATCTTCCTTTGACGATAAAGTTAGATAATAGTAGTAGTTGTAGAATTGTGTACTACAACCTTTTTTTAGGTTCTTTCAATTTCGTATTTCAGTTTTCGTATATTTTCGTGTAATTTTATTTGACTCTTCTTATTCTTCCTCATTTCTTTTCCCTTTGCATAAAAACATCTTTTAATATTACTTTAGCGATTATGTATAAGGAAAATATGAAGGAAGAAACTGAGAAACGATATTACTTATACCTATATGTTGGAGAAACGTTATCTTTCACAATAGATAATTTCTTTTTTTTTTTTTTTTTTTTTCTACTCAACTCGAAGAATTCGTTCGCGGCTAAAAGCCGATTTAAGAAAACAAACGTTTCAAGATGAAACGTAATCTCGCAAAAGTGCCGTCGTATCGTCGAACTGCCGGAAGGAAAGGAAAAGAAAGAGAAAGAAAGAGAAAGAAAGAGAAAGAAAGAGAAAGAAAGAGAGAACTTCTTTTGGGGAATGAATAAAAAGCGACAGCTCGTTAATCGTACCTTTCCGAGTCTCTCCCGTTCAAAAAAGGGTAACGATGACGTAGCTCTCCTATCTTATTGCTTTTCTTTCTACCTAATTGACAATAACGTAGAAAACTTGTTAGACAATATTCGTATCATGAAAAAGTATTACACTTATAGTTGTTTTTTCAATTTTGCTAATATTTTTTCTAACGTGGCGTTTCAAGATATTAATTTTAACTTGAACTTTAACTTTGCACGAGTCAATGATTTATAATCTATTTGTAAGGTTAATAATCAAGCAAGAGAGAATGTCTAATGTACTTTGGAGTTTCCTGTTTGTTAAAGTTTACAAAGACGACTTTGTATACAGGTGGAAGGGTCCTGTATAACACCGGCGAGGAAGGATTATTGTTCCAAGAATAGTGGCGGACCACTGACGACCTCAAAGATGGAGGGTAGCGGTACGGGAGTTGGCAGGATGGACACCTACGAGGATATGTTCAAGGAAATTACTCGAAAGCTTTATGGAGACGATCCTGATCACAGAAGTACGTCTAACTTATCCTTCGCGAAAGACTGGAACTGGAATTTAAACTTAATTAAGTTTATCAAAAGTAATTGAAAAAAAAGATTACACCTTATCTTTTTTATCTTTTTCGTTTAAATTCATGCTCTAACTTTTCAACAATATTTATTATATTATATTGTGTATATATATATATAGAATCTATAGAATATATCTATATATTCTATATATATAGAATATATATATATAGAATCGAGAGAAATTATACGAGCGATATTTCGTTTGGTGAAGTAAATACGATGACAATATTACAATGGTCTCGTATTTTCTTCCATTTACTAATACAAACATCGTATAATATTATTTAACCTGTTGTTTCACATTCTTTGTTATATAAATATAGCTTCGAGTGTTCAAAATGAATTCGAGACATCCGTGTCGTACAAGAACGACGATGATACCGGAAATGGGACGGATGGAAGTGACGAAGGTAATTGGACTTGCGAGGAAGAACCTCTTAAAGGCACCGACGGTAGCCGAATAGCTGCTTATCATGCCGGTAAAGCGACATGGAGATGTTACGAATGCGGTAAGTTCCATTTAATAATTCATTTTATTGTTTAATAAGCGTACATCATCATACTATGGAATGTTTGTACGTGTGAGTTTATTGAATCGAAGAAAGGAATGGAACGTGTCAATTTAAACATTCTTGTACTCTGAACTCTGAACTTTATTCAAATTAACTTTCTATGGGCCTTTGTGTAACTTTCAGGTCACATGCTACTTTTTCGATATCTTATCAAATAATTTTAGTTTTTTTTTTACAATGTCTTAGAAACAATATTCATAATAGTTGGCTAGTATTAATAATCTGAAACAACGAAATAAATGCTGTACAAATTGTCTGCAATACAAGTAAGTGAAACAATTTGTGCAAATATTATAAAACCGTTGTTGGGTACCTGAAAATCACACACAACGAATTTATTCTAATAAAATTGTTTAAATTAACAAAAATATTCTTTTCATCTGCACATATAAGTTCAAAATAGTTGATTTTCCGTTTCATCAATTTTTTGTGTATATTTGAAACAAAAATCTGGCCCCATAAAGAATTAAAAGTAAAGAAACAGTTCTGAGTCATTTTTATTTGATTTTAAACACAATAAAAATTCTTTTTACGTGAATATGGATATCACGTATAGAAAAAGAATGGAAAGACAGATGGAGAGGAAGGGAAAATGTGGTCAGATTAATTTTTGGACAGTAATCTGGAAGGGGAACATTCTAAGGTTATAAGAAAGATGGACTAAAGGAATGGTTCAGAAATGGTTCGTCAGGAATAGTTCACAGTCGGTACAGAGATTTGGTAAAATAAAGTTGATTTAGGTTGTTAAAAAATATAAATCGAAGGAAAAATGAAAATGCGGAAAATATTTCGTTGTAAAAATGATTTAAACATTTAATTATTATTTTCGTTCATATCGTTTCTCACATTGTTCATAATAAATTGTTAAATATGATATTACGAATTTCGGTCCTTTCGTATGAAAGTTATCGTTCGGTTCGATTCTATTTAGTTGTCCTGTGAGCAAAAAAAAAAATACACGAGTCTTTTTGTAAAAGTATGGAATAACAAACTTAACTGCTTAAACATGTGCGAAGGAAGGATGGAAATATTTTTTTTCATACAAATTGTAAGTAATATTAAAGTATATTAATTCGTTCATAAACTGAATAAAAGATACATTAAATAGTTCGATGGAAACAAGATTAAAATTTTGCAAACTATCACCACGAGGAAATAATCCAGACGAAATTGAGTGCCCATAAACTACGATTGTGATTTTGTCTTTTTTTTATTTTAAATTTACAAATATTTTTGACTTATCGGAAACGATGGAAGATGCATCGAATACATCTGTTAAAGATGCGACAAGAAGGGATGCAAAAGTAAATTATTGTCTTTTTGAAATTTTGTTTGCAAATTTGGTTTTCATTGGCTTCAGTTTCATTGACTACGGTTCCATTCTTCCTTCCTTGTGTTATATTCAAACGCGTCGAACAGAAAACATGGAATTAAAAAAGTCTTGATGTAGGTCAGTTATTATTTTATCTATGATTGATCATGAAATATAAACCTGTCCGTCATAAATTCGAAATCTTAAAAATAAGTCCCTAATCCGTTAACTTCGAGACTGTCGTAAGTTGGGGATAACCGGATTGTCGTGTGCCTATTGTGAACAACGTTTCAAGCGGTAATATATTTTAAGCGAGAAAGATGAATGAGACTTTTCTTCATTTAACCAACGAAAAAAAAAAAAAAAATCAACATCGACATAGTGAGCTACGAAATTAAAAAATGCAGGTAAGATAATATTATACAGACGACAAATTAAGTAGGAAGTTTAAGATAATGACATAGGTTTAATACTTTAATTTAATTAAAAAATTCATTTTTAAATAATTATTTAACTAATTTAATTACTAAATTGGTAAATATGAAATGTCGGATTTTATTAATATATAAAACTACATATGTACCCATAATTATGAAAGTGGTCTAAAGTTATGTATCTCTTGTTACGAGATATTTAAAGATTTCTATTTGAACATTATATGAATTCTATCTAATATTGAAAAAACAAACATATCTAACGATTCATTTTTGACAATATCGTAAAAATTATATTGAATTTATTTAGTTTAAAATAATGTGGTTTGTAATAACTAATAAACTCATTTTGTTTTTCATTTTTACTTAGACCATTTTCATAATTATGGGCACATATCTTTTTTGAAAACTTACCATAAAATTAGAACGACATTTTGACGAGTTATACTAAAGAAAAGTTTCGATTTTTATAGGAAAAAAGTTAGATTTAAATTAGTAAAATTGGAAAGAATAGTTGTTTGAAAAAATTATGAACATTAATTATTAGTCAGCTCTGAGTCAGGAAAGAATTAAAATTATTAATTCTTTAGTAGTTCGTAAAAATAATCAAATCAAATATTTAAGATATCTAAATGAAAAGAAACACCATATATATATATATATATATACTGGACAGTGACATTTGTGCAGTAAAAATTTATATATATATATATATATATATATATATTCAATGTTGTATAATTCAAAGTTTTATTGATTTGATTCTATATTTGAAAAAATTTATTGATAGGTTTCGCGATAAATAATATAATTAATAAAACAAAATTTTTATTTTGCGTAAACTATAATTTGAGAAGTATTTTTAACGTTGCAAGTTTAATTACGATGATCGAAAAATAATAAATACGAAATGTAGAATTAATAAAAAAAAGTCTATTTGACAAATTTTCCACGGTTAAATTTTTCCTGGAAATAGTGAAAGGGTAGATTCGAATGTTAACACATGTAGAAGGTGGTCACATTCCTGAAAATTCTTTTTAAAGAAAACGTTCGTGCTTTATTCACAGAAGAAAAAAGACACGTCTTAAAGATTTACAAAAAGAAAAAAAAACGAAAAAAAAAACAGAAAGAAAAAAATTCTTTTTGTCAACTGAAAGCTTGAAAACGTGTCTATTTTTCTAATTTTTTTCTTCTCTTTTTTAAAAAAACATCTTTTAGACCTAGGTTTATCCTTAGACCCCCCTTGAATTAAATGAAAGTTTAGTAAAATGTGTTGGTAAGGTCAGGACATTCCTGAACAACAAAAGACTCTGTCCTGAAGTAAAAGAAACAAAATGTTAGGGAAAGCTGTTCTTAGAAAGATTATTTTATGACATTGAATCAAAGAATTTAAAGTACTTTGGGAAAAAAAAGTGAAAGTTAAGTTAAAATAGAAATGAAAAGAATAGAAATAGGACAAGAATATAAGGGTCGAATAAGAAAAGAAAAAGAGAAAGAAAGAATAGGGGAAGGGGGTCCTAAGGTTGTTGATGCATCCGAACATGTGTTCATCATGTGTACTTCGTGTAGCATTTCTGCTGCTAGGTGTACTACGAAAAAAAGATTTACCGCAGTAATTTATGCAAATAATTTACGTGTGTGTATACGAAACAGAGTAAATTCTATTTTTTTAGATAACAATGCAAGTGTTATCGATTCAATGGAATTTAAAATTGACTGTAGAGATATATGTTAGCAAGCAGCAATATAATATTTATTTTTAACAATTTAATTAAATAAAATACCAATGTTAATGCGTACAAGAATTTAGAAAACATTCAATTACAAGTAAATGTGAATTTTGTTCAAATTGACATCGGATGTACGCTCACCCTTATCAACCGTCAGCTTTGTTTACGTGATTCTCATTAAATTGTAATTTGTTTAAATAGTTTAAATTTTCTTTAATCATTTTTGTACTCGATATATTAAAAATTGATTAGAAAAGACAATAATGTCATACATTAACTGGAGATATCAATAAGAAAATCGTGAATTTCACAGATAGGGTGTTTTGATAATATATTTCGTCTTGTTACCTCTCACGTGAATTATGATCGCACCAGCTAAGTACCGTTATCACGTGAGAGGGTGATTCAATTTATGAAGGGCTAATGTGACTTACTGCATATACATATGTATGTACAGTATATAGTTTATTTCATTCAATTTATTAACATTTTATAAGAATTTACTTATTTTATATCGAGTTGTATCTTTAACCGAGAGCATCCATAAAGCGTACCTTTTTTCTTCCCATCCCTCCCTCTCAACCGTACATATTCTTAAATAATGAATATTTTTTTTTTTCGAATATTTTATTTGTAAATGTCTACACCCATTCCCTATTCTTTATACATCCCACCCATACCCAATTCTCAATTGAAGATCTCAAAATCCCACCCATTTCCTACTTCCCCATTTTTTTCTGCCAATCCTTCTTCTTTTTTTCCATAAAAATCATTTCAAAGAAACTCCCACTTTTACAGTAGATTTCTTGACCCATACCCATCGAGTAGATCCGAAAACTTGTCATTTTTGTGAGAACTTCTACGAGAGACGGTCATCGGAGCTCTCACAGTTCTCTTCTGCATTCGTCTTCGAACGGGTTCAAAGTGCTAAGTCTCTCTCTAGTTTCGTCAAAAAATTCGTCAAATTTCGACTAAAATCGTTAGAAGAAGTGTGTTATTTCTATCATATTATTTGCGAAACGCGTAATTGTGATTGGTACGAAGAATAGATCTCCTGTATTAGTATCTACTATCAATGGGTATCAAAAAATAGGAAAAATAAGAAAAATAATCTGTTGGAAGATAGCGTCGATTGAACAAAAAGTAAAAGGTATATATATACTTTCCAAGTGAAAATATATATTCATTCTCTTTTTGTTCATATTAATGTCTCTCTTCTCTCTTATAATTTGATAATCAAGAAATAAACCTTTGTGGGAAAAATTAACACGTTCCGTGCCGAATCGTTTTTACGCGATTTTTCATTAAAATTATTGTACGTTTCAGTTTATTATTTAAGTATATCAGTATATATATCGCCGATGGTATACAAGTTGAACGTGTGTACCACCGTCGGTACCAGTGATACAATAAAGTATTAAAAAATATAATATATTGAACATATTTGAAGAAAAAAAATTTTTTTAACATAGGTGAGATTTCGGGTGGTGGACCACGAGAAGTCGCGGAACATTTTATGGAATTACATTCATCGAGGATATTACCAGACGATACCAGAATTAGGCATCATTTACCGCGAAAAGATTATATGCAAAACGAGCTAAAGATAGAAGACGTTATAGCTTATTTGGAAAGATTAAGAGAACGCGCGGAAACAGCCGCCCCACCTTCCCGAAGGACTCAGGAAACTCAGACGATACCTGCCGCCTTATTGCCGGTGTCCCCGACCTTTCTTTTACAAGAATTACCGTCCGTCCCAGCGCCGCAACATTTGCATCAGGTAAAATAACCAAAATTGCATTTTATTATTACAATTTTTTTCATTTATTTTTTTTCTACCGAACAAACTCATTAAATTTTATTGTTGCAATTTCTGACGATTATTTCTACAGAATTCCGCAACGATGTCTTCGGTTACATCTTCTATTGGCAAGAGATACTCGTGTCCGTATTGTCCTTATGGAACCGACAGACGCGACTTATACACGCGTCACGAAAATATTCATCGCGAGGAAAAACCATTTCATTGTTATATATGTTACAAACCGTTCAATCGTGCCGATCACGTGAAGAAACATTTTCTTCGGATGCATCGGGATCAAGTTTACGATATAACCAAAATAAGAAAAAATAGTGCAAATTCTTCCAAGTCTTTGCAACAGGATTCGAACTCGACGACTACCGCTAATGGTGGTGCTAATGGTCAACCGCAACAGCATCAGCAACAGCAGCAACAGCAACAACAACAGCAACAACAACAGCAGCAGCAGCAACAGCAGCAACAACAGCAACACGCCACTTATACGCCTGGTTACAGCGGTAATAAAAATTATCAATTGCAATCTAATCCTGGAACTAGTACTGCGACGGGTACGGCTGGTACGGCTGGGATGTATCAAGCAGCGGCTATGCCTGCACCTGGTGTTATGCAACCAGATGTAAATAATTGTGCGACAGGAAGAAGAATGTCGAATGGTGGATGCAACAGTAAAAGTCATCTCAAGGCAGGTTCGAAAGGATCCCAGGATCGAAGGTAAGTTAGATTTACATAAGAACATAATTATAATACATGAACCAATAATAATAATAATACAAAAAAATCTGTGCAGTCGATTCGTATGTAATTTCTGTCCATGGACCGGGGTCGACAATTGGTGCTTAAAACGCCATCTTAATACGCACTTGAGGCCATTCGCTTGCTCACTTTGCGAGTACAAAGCAGCGCGTTCCGAACGTCTGACGACGCACGTGCTCAAAGTTCACAACAGGCATCAATGTTCCAAATGTTCCTACGTTGCGATTGACCCCGCGGAGTTACAGGTACATCAAATGCAAATGCATCGTGGTAACAACGCCAATGCACAATCTACGAATGCGGCGGCACATGTAACATCAATTTCTAATAATCGTCAACAACAACAACAACAACAACAGCAACAACCACAACCACAACCTCAACCCATTCAGTAAGATTTATTCTTCCTTTTTATTTTGTTCTATTAATTAATTATTTGCATAACTTGTTAATAGTTCATTGAACGTAAAGCTTATTTATCGATGATCTTTGTTAATTTACAGTCCCACTGCTGGAGGAAGACCACCACCTGGACCACCGGTTTTCCCTGCACCAGCACCAGCTATCACACCTGCCACTACTGTAATACCACCGACTACGTTACTTGGGTAAGCCGATAACGGTCGAGCTTTGCTGCTCATTTTGCTCGCTTTCGTTATCGTATCTTTACTTTCGTTCATTTTCGTATTTGCTCTTCTAATCCCTAATTTTTATTAACTAATCGAATTTTCCAGCTTCGTATTCGTACGCGCGCCTACGTAGATCATTTTCTGCATTATTTAATCGTGCTAATATAAATGATAATCTTATTCGAACGAGTATTTTCGATCTGTGTGAAGCATCTGTGTTAAGCAGTTTAAAGCATTGAAATGGAGATGGAAATGGGAGGAGTGGGAGTGGGAGGGGGGTGGGGAAGTAGAAAACGTCGATAATTAAATGCATAGTTGATACATTCCGGAGCTGGAATTAACAACTTTTATTTCATTTGAATGGTTTTATTTTGCTTATCGCTGTTTTTCTCTACTTCTCTCTCTCTTTCTTTCTCTCTCTCTCTCTCTCTCTCTGTCTGCTTGCCTGTCTATCTGTCGATCTTTTTTTCTTTCTGCATTCATTGATCTATTTCCATCCATTAATTTCTCTCTTTCTTTTTCTCTTTATATTTGATATGAATAAATTTGGATAAAAATAAATTCTCATGTCGAAATCGAAGTACGAAAGAGACACGCACAACATGCCAGGCTACACGCACAAATTGAAAACCACCACCACCACAACGGGTTTATATTTGTTGGCCGTTAGAGAGCACGTACGAATGCACGAACAATTTATTTTTTTTCTCTCCCCCCCCCTATTTTTCTTTAATTTTCTATTTTAAGATTTACGTTTATTGTTGAACGATCGACGATGGGTCATAAAAAATACGGAACGCTAGACATGAGGAGGAGGAGGAGGAGGAAGGAATAAAAAAAAAAAAGATAATATAAAGCCTCCCCTTGCGCTTGAAAAAAAGCAAAGAGAAAAAAATAAAAATAATAAAAATAAAAATTGGAAAAAAAACGTATGAACATATAGAGAAATTTGGTTGATGTACGTTTCGTATTTTGTGACCTGTCGCATGGAATTTGAATACGCACGACTCGTTGTTCTTCGTTGTTGTGCCACCCGCTCCATTCTCCAACATCACCTGTCCTCCATGTTATGTTACGTTCTCGCGTCATTTTTTTGTGATATTTTCTTTAATCGATATTGCACGCTTCGTTCAGCTTTCGATGTCGTAGAAATTGTTGGTCTCGAATCTATATGTTTCAACATTATGATTTATTTTTCTTTCGCTCCATCATTTACTTTCTTTCTCATACACATACACAAATGCTCTCTCGCTCTCTCTCTCTGTTACTCTTTCTCTCACTCACTCTCTCTCTCTCTCTCTCTCTCTCTCTCTCTCTNCTCTCTCTCTCTCTCTCTCTCTCTCTCTCTCTCTTTCTCTCTCTCTTTCTCTATCGCTCTCTGTCGCTGACTTGTTCCTTTCTTATGTGTCTCTTTATCATCTCGTCGTATGACGATGCTGATTAATTGATAGAAAAATGACGCGAACGTAACTTATGGAACAGTGCCGCGGTGGTTGCAGCCACGAGATGGTAAAGTCACCTGCAACTGCAGCGACTATGGCATATCCGTTGGAGGAGGAGAGGAGACGAAGTTCGAGAGGTCGAGAAGACCTCGAAAACCTCGAGCACGGCAACGAGAAGGACAAGGACTTTGGCGAATATGATCGCGTCAACGATTCAATCGAAAGAAAGAACGATAACGTTTCTCGTGATCATCGTCATAATTCGATCTTCTTATCATCTAATCGTCATTTTACGTGCAGCACCGACGAGAACAACCCGTTTCCATTGACATCGGAACTACTTTATGGACGTTTAACTGACGAGGAAAAGAAACAACCGGAAGAAAGAAGATCAAGGAAACAACGGAAACCAAGAAAGGCAGTACGTGGGCTACATGTTACGGGTGATGAATCTGTGGAAAACGTAAGATCCAATAATGTTAATGGTAATGCGCCAGGAATTATATATCAACGAAAACGCAGCTTCGATGAGATAACCGACGAAGGGCAGACCTCGTCCGAAAGTTCGATCGGTTCACTCGTGAATTCTTTAGATTCTTTGCTAGATATGTCAACAACGGGACCTCTCAACTACAGTATGAATCAGCTTTATGTATCAGCACCCAACTATAGCCCTTCTGATACCGCCAGTTCTTCCTTTACAAATTCTTTGACAAATTACAACTCTTCGGGAAATTACAAAAATGAGGAAAATGAGATGAATGGGAATAGTAAGAAGAAATGTTTCAGTAAGGAGAACAGCGATCAGGAGGCCCTTAATTATCAATCTGTCTCTTCGGTTACGCTCAAGGCAACAGTTTTTACCAATCCTGGCTACAATTTCCAAAGATAACGTTGGGTGCTCATCTTAAAATTTGAATTTACGATATATGCGAACTGGAACATTTACTTCTAATTGTAAGATAAGTTAAAGAAGAAGATTATTTAAATAGAAATGAAAATTAACCATTTAACGCGAAACGTTTGAATATTCACATTAATTTTTTTTTTCGAAATAAGCGTTAAAAATAATCACTTCTTTTTATTTTACAATATTGTATATTTTTTGTTTTTTTGACTTTTTTTTACTAACAATATCTTTAGTTATAAGAACGAAAAGCGAGGAAATAAAATCGTAAAAATCGAAAAAATAATACTCGCGATGGGATTAAACTAACAAAAAATTTCTAATATTACTTTGCATGCTTTTTATATTGCAAAAAAAAAAATTAAAAAATTATAAAATTAAAACCAAAAAAAAATTATTAAAAAAAAAACGACTAAAAAAAAAAAAATTTTAATCGGGTGTTTGATATGTTTCAAAACTTCGGTTCTGATAATTTTCAGAATAATTCGTATTTTTTTCTAATCGTAAAATATTCTTTGTGCACGATACATAAACTTTCTACTTTCTTAACTGTTTTAATATGACGAACATCAAATCGATGGATAATAACGATAAACTTATTGTTAGAATTATGTTCTTTAAACTTTTGTGTGTTTCTTCAATTTTGATAATATTAAATTTGATTTATTTCCTAGGGAATTTTTGCCAATTTAATGCGAATCTTATACGATCGTTCATAGCGTTAAGCGTTAAATGGTTAATAATCGGAACAACAATTTAGGAGAATGATATTATGCGTTCTTATTTTCAACCTGTTAACTTATAAAAGATAGTTATTATGTTGATCAACGCTAACGTTAATCAAATGTGTATATGTATATATAAATATGAAATTTATTTTCATCGAAAATACTATTATTAGGATAAGCGAGAGAGGGAACTTTGAATAATACTGATAAATTGTAACACATCCTTTGACAAATGTCTTAGGATCAACTCTTTTTTTCTTTGTTTTTCGAGTTAACAGGTTCAACGTTTATAAAAAAAAGGGCGCTTGTGTAAATATATTCTTTATTAGTGAGTGCAATTGAACGAACGGATGTAGCAAAGAAAATAATAAGATTCGATACAATTAATTGATTAAGTAGGAAACAAAATGATTATTATGACGACGAACGAAGACGAAGAACTTAACAAAAAAGTATTGAGAAAGATAAAGCTTGCGAATAAGCTACAAATAAGAAAGTGTGCAATTTTAATGTTTTATACTCGTACCTTATCCTCTTTCCTCCATCCCCTTCTCCCATTTGATGTCTCGTACATTTGTCTTCGTCCATCTGTAATCGGGTAATCCCTTGTTCCTTTTTATCCACACTGCAAGCCGGTTCTTCTTCTTTCGATATAAGAAGAAAATGATTTGCGCTCATTCTACTCGTAATAAATCGAAAATTTTCAATCGTCATGCTGTTACGCCGTTTCCATATCGCGCTACCTGCTGGAAATAAATTTTATACATATAAGTCATTTGTACAAAACCATTATCATCATTGCGTTATTTACATTAAATACATTACATTAATTATACTTTGTACATATTATATTATATCGTCTTATTTTTATTTATTTCTTTACCAACTCGTATCTGTTTTCCATTTTCTTGCTAATCCTGTTTCTTCCTCAGTTTCTTTCTTGACTTCCTCTTTATCAAATGAGAATTAATTTGACTACCGTTGTTGTATACTTTTTTCCTAACCTTTCTAACGTTGCAATATATATGTATTTGAAAAGTTTATTTTATTTTTAAGACAAATCGCGGATTTTTTAAAAAGAAAATAACCAGAGGGATCAATCGAATACCTTTTTAAATGTCATAAATGATTACGTCACAATTTATCCCTTAAAAAAGGGATTGATACAAATCTGACGTATCAAGCAATGGTAAGACTCGATCGGTAAAATAGTTTAATGTCATTTCCCCAACAGACGTCGCTGCCATCAATTTTGGCATTTTTGGCACGTAAAGAAATTTATTTCAAAATGGTTAAATCGTTTAGTAAAAAGAACAACTGTTTAATAAAGTAAATCGTAACTAGCCATTTTTCGATAAAATAACTCGAAATTCGTGTAAACGTCAGAGTTACGTCATACATGTCCTATATATATATATATATTGAAACATATATAAAGAAAAATAAATAGAAGAGAAAAATGATTGGTTTTCTCTGTATAAGAAAAAGGGGCTAGAAAATAGTTACTCTCGAAGGAACCAGGATCGATTCTCTGAAATATCTATTACGTATATATACTTTACTTACTTTACTTTCAAGTTAGCGAGAGCGTGGTCATCGAGGCGGCATCGACAGTCGATAATTGGATGAAATTTGAAACCGTTCACCACCGACCGGTCTTCGACCCTTCCCAGAGAGTCGAACAGTCTGTTACTCTAGAAATCATCGGTGAACTTTAACAAACCAATCTCGATTCGATAAATTGTACAGCGTTCTAAGGGATAAAATAGGGAGACGGAGGAGGAGTAGGAGGAGGAGGATGAGAATGTGGAGAAAGACGAGATGATGGAGGAGTAGGAGTAGGAGCAGGAGTAGGAGGAGGAGGAGGAGGAAGAAGACATGGACTACCATCTCGTTCCAATTGGGGGATGTCTCGAAAATGAAGTCCTCTTGTATTCGTGTTAAGTCGAAAGGATCGATCCGCGAGAATAGACTCGTCCCGGACGAACGATGAAAATTATTCTCTCGTGACTCCCTCTCTCTCTTTCTCTCTCTCTTGACTCCTTCGTGACTCTGTCGCTTGTTGGATATACATTGAACCTAGCGATGCTGTTTTCGATAGAGCACGAAAGCTCTCTCTCTCTCTTTCTCTCTTCCTCTTTTTGCTATTACGTGCAAACTCATAGTACACATTTTGACGAGGGCTAAGTCGAGGCTTCGTACAGAAGCCCAGTGACAAAGGGGTAAAAAAGAGAGAGAGAGAGAGAGAGAGAGAGAGAGAGAGAGATGGGTAGAACGTTGCACAAGTTTTACGATGTAAATTTTTCTCGCGACAAGACGCATAATCGACGTGCATGCAATTTTCTATATAGTTTGCCATATATGTATACCGAGTAACGACAATCTCCACGTTACGCGATTATACATAATGTAAAATGATGATGATAATAAAAATATATTATAATAATACATACATATATGCGGAGATAACGTTGCTAGAACGAAGAGAGATGATACGTGACGATTAGAAAGAAATATATCGCTCGAATTATCTCTCTTTCTCTCTCTCTCTTTTTCTCTTTCTCTATCGTGTTATTATAGTCGTAGAGTATTACAGAATCGATTTCAATTATGTTAAATGTTCGTTATTATAATTGGTTAATATATTACGATTATCCCCTCCTTCCGAATCGAATCAATTGTATTTTCTTTTTATTTTCTTTTTCTTTCTCGCGATTAATGCGATTTCTTTTCCTTTTTTTTTTGGAAGAAAATGGAGGGGAGAAATTTTCAACGAATCGTCATTATACTATCGTTCTTTTCGATTATTCCCATCATTTCTATTTCATGCAAATCCAATAGGAGCACGTTATATCGCGATAACGTTACGATCATATGATTTTTTTTTTTTTTCGTTAAAAAAGAAGTAAAGCAAAATATTCTTGTTAATTTTAAGAAGGTGGAATAATTTTTGTGGATAGGATTTAATATAGTAAGGACTAATTGTAAAGAAAGAGAGAAAAGGGAGATGGGTTTTAACGCGAGAAAGTAAAACGCGTTTTGTCGCCTTCTTCTCTCACATTTTCTTGTGTTAGTCACGAAGCCACCTAATCGTAACCACTAATCAAGTTAAAAAAGTCACGCAAGCTCAGCTTCTCCGCCTCATCGTCGTCGTCGTCGTGTTCGTCGTAGTGGTCGTCGTCGTTGAACTTTCGTGATCGTTCAAAATTGTTAAGAACAAGGTAAGAAAATAATCAATTTGATTCGTCTTCTATCGATGTCTCATTTTATTTTTCATAGTTATATGTCTATGAATACATACAAGTTTTTTTTATATATATAAAAGAAGAACAATTTTCTTATGTACAAGAAGGCTTAAAAGTCCTGAGTTTATTATGTGAAGGGTTATAATAGAATTATATCTCTGTTACAAGGTACATTGACCGACCCATAAGTGCAACTAATTTTATAACAAACTTTGACTAATTAATTAAATAAATAATTTCATTGATATTACAATTGCTCAATGAACGTTAAGTTAAAATTTGCTAATAGATCGAACATCAGTGATTTATCCGTTAATGATTACGTTGCATCATACAAATTTTATAGTCACCGTAAGCAATATCGGTTATCGGATCTCACCACGGGGAGATTATTACCTCAGAGATCCATTTGGAAATTAATAAATCTTTAAAATTAAAGAAAAGGAATATTTGAGCATAGTTACATACTCTACTAATTAGTATGATTTTAATGGGAGAGATGATGAATATTCAAAGGTTTTTCTAAAATCATAAAAAGAATTGGATGATGGCGAATCGTTTTCCCTTAAACAATGGAAAGAATGGGATGATAGTCAATCTTTTTAAAGCCATAAAAAGAATAAGACTATGGTAAAAATTGTTGTAAAATTTTCACAAAATATAACATGCTTTAATTCTGATAATTAATCTTCTTACCTAATTTTAATACATTTACACCATCGATAATTACTGTATAAATCTGTAAATAAAATGAGATTTAATTAGATATTCAATTCTGTATTAAAATATTATTTTATTACGCAAAAATACATTTTTACCAAGATAAAGAACAAGTAACGTTTCACTTCAACGATGTTTAAAATCAAAATGAGATACACATACATAGATACCTAGGTATGAATCAAATAGTTGATAAAAAAAGAATTTCTTGGAATTCATCGATCGATATAAACATAGACGATGTTTGCCTCGTTCGATTTTGACCTATACTCTCCGTCTCTATATACATTCAATAGTGTTGAGATTACTACTACACGTGAAAATAAAAAGCCATATAAATTCATATACATACACTTCGGAAAGTCATATAAACAATATTCAATAAAGGAATATTCAAAGAGGGCAACGTGCCAGTCTGAAGGTGAATTTTGAAGAGGACAATATTCCTGACATATATTTCGTACATTTCAACTACAATACGTATTTCCTTTGATTAAATAACAATTACTTTAATATTCCAATATACTCTATTTGAAATATTTACATTTAATATTTAATCTTTCATTAAGAATATTAAATAATATACATTCACGATATCCCATAAAAATAATTTCAAAAATAGAATTCGAT